TTTCTAATTTCCGCTGTTGCTATTTATTATTTATATTGTAAAATAGACGTAAGCCCCCTTGTTAAGTCTCGTTGCTTTTGGGGCAAATGTTATGATAAATATGTTTAAATAATAATAATAAAAAAAATGTACCATAACTCAAACCATCAAACCTGGTTTCAACATGCATGGAGTATTTCAGTTGGTCGAGCTTGCAAAAACACTGATAAAGTAGTTCTGATGAATAACTCAATTTGGAACTGCAATTCCAGTTCCGGTCCGGCTTTTGGCATACGTAATTATGTTGTTGTTCGAGCGTAAACGTGCACATTTGCACGGGCATTGTATAGATCGCTTTAAAACCAAAATGCTTCATTTAAAACGTAAATACGGGCTAGTATTTGCTCCAGACCTGTCGCAATTGCCTTACATTTAATAATTTATTGATATTTTTTAATTAATCGCCATTTTTTAGAAGAAAAATCACAGGTTTCCCATCCTCTGTTTTTGTTTACTGGGCTTCCTGTGTCGCGAACTAATGCCATCTAAGTAAATCTCAGTAGAGTTTGAAAATCGCCCCTGAGAATATCCCATAACTTCAAATCTTAAAAATAAATGTTCGAAAATAAATGATAGATAGTTGTTGAAGCTTTTTGAGTGGTATTTTGAGACGATTTTGGGTGTTTTAGGCTTTTTTTAAGGCTCCCGTTTCGAATGCCATTTGCCAATGACGACAAGGTAAAATGGGCTTACAATAAACCACGAAACGAAACGAAACGACAAAATAAAAATGTGAAACGAGGATTTCGCATTTTAAAGATCTGTTTCGCATTTTACAGATGTGTAAAATGCGAAACGACAGACTGTAACCTGAGGCTTTGCGATCCCATGTTTAACTGTAAGCTTACTCACGAAATTGGATGAAAACTGTGTAGCTCCATGTCTTAGCTAATTAGAGATTCCTTTGAATCTCAGTGGGAAAAACAGTGTAAACTTTCCTAGAACCAAAAGCCACAAATTTATAAACTATTTATAAACGCCATTTTGAATGCACAGGGACCCCAATCGAATCATTAGAGGATGCTACGTCAGGTTGCCAGGGCAACTTGCGTTGCCAGGACCAGTTAATGAGCTAAATTATTGCTAAAGTATGCGTCCAGGTCGTCTCGGTCAATGGGTATTTCATCTACGCCGTCTTCTTTGATTTATTACTCGAGTGATTATAATTTCCTCTTTGCTTTTACGAAACTTCAACGGTTTGTTCGCCGCAAGTTCACATCTTGATGAATTGGGACTTCAAAGTGAAATGGATTAGCGACCTTTCAGCCTGATAATACTGTAGCTTCAAAAACTCCTCAAATCTACAATTATTTCAAAAACGATTTCATCACAGCAGAAGAATAATTTACTCTGATAACTCTGTAAGTTCTGATTTTCAAAAAGTATTTAGTGTTATCACTCATTAATAATTCATGAGGAAAACACAATAGAAATCACGACCACCGTGAAGAGTTCTGTAAATCAGAAACAGAATCCTGTTCATTTGCATAAACTTTAACTTGGATTTTCTTGGACAGATTCACTTTAATTTTGAAAATTTTAGTGAAACACAAAGGAACCAACATAGACGTTTGATAAGCAATCTACAGTATTTGTGTCCATGGTGTATCCAATATGCAAACTCTTGGCTACGCCTCGAGTTTGTATATCGGATGCAACACTGCCACTCATACTGTATATATTACTAAATTTGCAATTCCAGTAAATATTTGAATTCTTGAAAGCGAAATAATTTAAATTGTTGATTGATCGACCTCGTACTTTTAGTGCTTCATTGTTGTTGTTGTTTTGCTTGTTTTGTATTAACATCCTGTTCTTTGCCTTTATCAGGGTTCCGACTCATATCAAAAATTAAAATTCCCTGACTTTTCACTGACTTTTCCCTGACCAAAAGTAATTTTTCCATGACCAAGTGGCAAACTTCTATTTAGTACTTTTAATTRATAATTAATTAATCCATGTGAGGTAAAAAACTTTAAAAATTACAAACAAATAATGTACATGGACAATAGCAATAGCAACGAAAATTATCTCAGTTCTTTTATTGTTTTTGGTTTCTTTTGTAGGCATTCAGTCTCATGATTTCGATGCTTTCCTTTCTAATCTGTTTTCAGTTCCTTCTGAAGACGATCGATATTGGGCTCTTCCTTTTCCATTTCTTTTCTCTTTTCCCTTGATTTCGTTCGTAGGGCATTGGACTTCACAAGAACACCGAGGTCATTTCTCTTTTCTGCATCTGCAGAAAGTTCATCTGCTTCCTTAACAAGAGCATTAGCTGTCGTTTCAAGCCTGTGCTTTTTCTTTCTGGCTTGTCTTATGTCTTCTTCAATTTTTCTTTTCAAGCCTTCTTTTTGGCTWATTTCTACTGATAATTTCTTAACTGCCAAACATGACTTGTATCTACCATGAGCATGTTTGCAAGAAGTGAGAAGCTCTTTTGTGATATATTCTTCAATAGGACAATCTAGACTTCTGATGCCACTGTGAGCTCTGTGAAAGCTAACCAATGTATCTTGGTGCATATCGTTGCTCATGATGTCTTTGTTGTCTGAGAATCCTCTCTCAACACATGATTGACCATGGGACATGATGAGCAGCATCTTCATTGTTAACCATAGGTCTGCATACTGTGGCTTCTGATGTAAGTATTCAGCTAGGAAAACATCAAGACCTTTGTCCGATGGGTCATAGGACCTAAAGTCATCTTTATGATACCTCCCAACATCAGCTATAAATGCCTTGTACTGCTKTAGGACAGAATCACAAAAGTGTGTAGATTTCAATTTGTGTGATATCAGCTGCTGCAGAACATTTGAGAACCGGGTTGTAGCAGATTCTGGGCTTGATGCTATGTACATGGGGTTTAGGGACACCAGATTCCTAGCCATTTTGTACTTCAAAAGGGGAACTGTCCATTACTTTTCTAGATAATTGCTGCAATTGAGGCAATTGCTTTGAAATTCCAAGATTTGTAAAGGAGTGGCTTCCTTAGTACTCTCCATCTTTTGCATTGACATCTTTGCAGCAAATCCTATATCTACCTTCTTGGCTGGCAGAAGGTTGTCTTTCTTCATGACATCAATGTTAGCCAGTTTAGCACATGTTATTGCACCTTCCAGGACAGATTTGTTTACAAACTTGGTAAGGATTGCCTCGAGGATGGTTTGCAACTCTTGTGCCAGGAAAGGAACCATGGGCTGGTCAGTTTGAAATTTCTTCAAAAAAGGCTCAAGGATTCTTGCAATGCAAATAAAGAACTGAAGCTTTGCAACAATAAGTGGATCTTGAATGAATTCTTGCAGATTTTTCAAGGACTGGCTTGTAGGTATTTTGCTTTTTGGTAGTTTTGTCACTTCTGTAACATATTTCTTGATATTTGGCCAGATAAGCACAGCTCGTTCTGCCACTGGCAAATCTTCCAGCCACCTTGTTCCACAAAATCTTAGTTGCCATTTAGAACTACCAGATAGAGCTTCATAATCTTCTCTTTTAGCTGGTGAATGTTTTACCACAGGAAATCCAAATAAATAAAAATATACATCGGGAACATTTGGRAAGTTTCGTTTGGGAGTGAAATTACAATATTATCGCCAAGAAGAATTTGAGAATGATGACAAAAATTCCCTGACTTTTCCCTGACTTTTTAATAAATTGCAAATTTCCCTGACTAAAATCCAAATTCCCTGACAATTCCCTGACCTTGAAAAAAATTCAGAATTCCCTGACTTTTCCCTGACCGTGGGAACCCTGTTTATAGCTTTATAGTAAGGCACAGGCAGCCCAAACGATGTTCCTGTATATGGTTTATAAGGGAATATATGGGAGTTATGATAAAGTTACGAAAATAAAATGTTTCGCTCAAATTTTTGTCTCAAAACTTGTGCAGTTTTTGCTTTTACTTTGTTCAGTCTTCTTATTTTCGTAACTTTATCCTAACTCCCATACATTCCCTTATAAACCATACACAGGAACCTTGTTTGGGCTGCCTGTGAGTAAGGCTGTTAATAATTGTTAAAATCTACTTYATAATTGTAATAATCTTTATTCGCCAAAAGACAAAGGCTTGCTGTTGCCTTTTACGCTAGAATAAAATCAACTTTTTTACGACTGACATTACGATTGAAATAATTTGCTTTGAAGGCAATAATTTTTACGTGTTTGGATTTTTTCGGTAGCAATGCCAAAAAATGAATCTAAAGTGATTTCTTTTCTTTTACTCCTCTTTTATAATTTCCTTCAATGAAAAGGTTTTGAAGGCCTGCATTTCATATGATATAAGGGACTGTTCGTTTATTATGTCACAGGGGGGGYKGGGTTTTTTGTGGGGGGGGGGGGGGGGGGGGGGGGGGATTCCTGTGTTGGGTTTGGGATTCCTGACTTTCCTTTTAGAGATTTGTTTCTGACCTCTGACCGTTTTTCTTGAGCCTGAATGCATTTTAGACAAAATTAAAACCGAGTCCAACCTGCCTGCGGTTTCGCCTAGCGACAGTGTGGGGGAGCCAATCGTGGTACAGGGGTATTGGCAGGGATTGCAATGTGGCAGCTTTGTCGTTGTGTTGTCGTTTGGCCAAGCACTTGTGGAAAGATTTTTCTTTCCCGCTAAACTCTCTGAAGTAAGTATAGGACATGGTTAGTATCTCCACCGTGAAAGGTGTGACGGGTGCCAGGTGGGGGATGGACTGTGGCCTGGTAGCCATGGTCACCTCTGCGAACGGACTGGTTAGGCAAGACCATCCCTCGCACTCAACCCAAACTTGTCACTACGATGAGTTTTAATTGCCAATTAAGTGATCTTCGTGAATTTTGAATTTGCCATCTTGAAAAAGGGTAACATGGCGATTTTTCTTTAGGAAGGAGACTGGTACTCAAGTTTTGCTATGGGGAGGGGTGGGGATAAGAATTATGTCTGAGGAGGGAGGAAGGGGGGTAAATTTATATAGACTTTATTTTTGAGGAGGGTAACTTTTTAAAAGCAATATTTTCTATGAAAACCACAAGACCCCCCTGTGACATAATAAATAGACAGTCCCTTAACACACTAAATCCAATACTAACTGAAGAAAACGCCTTTATTTGACTGACCCGGACAAAGCATCATTAAAAGGAAAAAAGCAACAAAATTAAGAAAACAAAGTGACGACATTGCTATGCAAATGTTTTGAATAAATTATCTTTCAGGTTGTTTAATTGCTAATTTATGCTAATGCTAGGCTTTTATGATAAACAGCTGGCCAAAAACAACGTGACGAGCATGCTACAAAGTACGTTGGTAATTCCTTGATACTGATTGGCCGAGACCCGGTCACATGATTATAGTTTCACTCCCCGTCAATTTTATTTATCATCCGCCAATTCACCATATTTGTTTACTTTTGAGCCAGCAGCGATTTTTAAGAAACCGCATGCGCGTCCATACCACAGGAAAACCAATCAATTAAATTATGTACCACAGGCAGACCAATCAACAAATTTATGTTAGCCGTGCTTTCTTGTTCGAACGGAAAAGATCAAACCCTAGAATGTTATTTATTTTGCTTCTTAAATGTAATAGAATCTGAAAATAAATATTGCTATGTACTTCGTTTCATTGTGAGCAAACTTTGAAGCCAAAACAGTTAATATAAATACATAAATGTAGGCTATACGAATATTTATATTGTCATGCTGAATGAATTTTGGGTTTCTTTAAGCCAGTGGTGGTTTATACATGCATAATGAGCACTGCAAAATTTATCTGTGCATTTCGTGACAGAAAAACCATAATGGCCGCCTTAGATAAGATTTATCCTTTAAAAAACTGGAAAAAAATTCAATTCTCTATTCTTAAAGATGGAGTTTGTACATACATAGGCCACGCATTATGGGCTTCCAATTTTGCTGTTTTGATTTTACCTTTTTTTTCCGGACACCAATTGCAACTTTTTTTGAACGAAATGATTCTTCAGAACTCAAAGTCAGCCTTGCCTTCATATCCGTGAAGAGCTGCAGTATTGATGAAGCATAGACAAAGATGAACAAGACAAAGACGGAAAAAAAAGGACATGGCAGAATCTAAATATAAAACTTTTTGAGAAAGCAAGTGATCTGATGCAATCCTTCTCTTGTCCTAGCCTCCTGCACAGGCGTCTCTCTCTCTTTGCTTCGAGCCTTTCTCATCTGTTTCTTTGATGGACTACCTGTTTTGTGGCTGAGAGAAAGCTTTCTCTTCCTCCTCCCTCCTTCTCACAGGTATCCAAAGTGTCAAAGACAGGAAAATAAGGCCTGCGGAGCCTATAATTGCTCTGTAGTTAATATTATATTTAAGTAATACAAAGAGCACAATTAATAGACAAAATTCGATAAACTTTAATGGTAAAGTACTTCACCAGTATATCATACCTGTAGTAACTGTGGAAGGAACCTTCGTTTGCCCTATCAAATACATGGAAACAAAAAAATAAATAATAATTAGCGAGTCTTAAGCCTTTCTGTCACTTTGTGGAATGATGTAAACTAGCAGACTTAAAGAGAAGTTTGTAGATGGGACCATGAGCCAAGCAGATTGCCATAAAACAGCTGAAAAGTTTTTTTTTTAATCAGAAAGCTGAAAGAGTTTGTCCTTAGTCAAATTCAATAAAAACACACTAATTAAGTCATCAAACATTGATTATCATATTCAACACAGAAAGTGTCAGCCATAAAGACCATATGAAAAAGGGATTAAGGAATACAGAGGTAGGTCTAATATAAATATTTTAGCTAAGAACTATGTTAATAGTAGCAAAATACTGACTACTGTAGCTGGGCCTGTCTGGTGACCTGATCCCAACATTCTGGATTCTGGATTGTTAGGCTTTTCCAGAGCCTCTAGCGTTAGCATTACTAAAACAAGGAAGCAAAAGTCCACTCTCTTAGAGCGTCAAGTTGTCAATAATTAAAATCATAAGGGGTTAAAATAGACGCACAAAAAATCAATGGTATTAGGGACATTAATCTTATATCCTTATTTCGTATGGGCTTAATGCCTTCACTCTGTACCTGGATGAGACCTTGGTTTGTCAACCATTTATTCGATTAACAATTTGTTTTTGTTTGTAAGAAGTCCAAAAGTAAGTTTCAAGGAACAATCGTAATCTGAAGAAGCTTACAATTCAGAAGCTTATAATTTCAATTTTTCCCTGCATCCTGTCAGAAGCCAGTGTAAATGTGTTAACCTGTCAATTAGTTCACTTGGAGTATTTTTTACAGAATACCCTTTGTTTTTAGACGTGCTCTAAGAGCTATTTTTTGACAAAAAGCAATATAGTATAGTAATAAATTATAAATATCTCTATCAGGTCTACATATTTTACTTTTTGCAAAAGAAACAAAGGCTGCCTGGAAAAACCCTGAATTAATGAAATTCTAGATTTCTTTTCTTTTCTTTTATTTTCTTCTTATTTCTTTTTTTCATTTCATTCCATTTGATATTCTTTATATCTATATATTCCATAATCTTGTAACCAAAGAAGTATATTTGTAATCATTTTCTCAAAGTGCATATCACCCCTAAAATCAAACCACTTATCATATTCTAGACATCACCAGCTTTCAAATTATATTCATACAAGGTCGATTGGATAATACCTGGGTAAGAAATTGAGGCTTAAAGGGGTGATTTTTTGGCTCCTGAGGGGGAGCGTCTCGAGTGTTTTCTCAACTTCCCAAGTGTTTTGATCAGAGTAATCAAACATGGAAAACTGTTTTTTTGATCTGTTTTATAAAATAACAAACACGCCAAAAAACAAATCATATACAGTGTATTATCCTGATGTATTTGTAACTTTAGGATGATGCAAGTGTGTTTTGATACCCTCATTAAACATGGTTTTCGACCAGTCCTAGTGAGGGTACTATCCCAATTATTTTATAATACATTCTAACCTTTATCCTGCCCAAATTTGAAAAATAACCTATTTTAAAATTTAATCGGCACCTCATTATTAGAAGATAATGCACCAGTCAAAATAAACCCCAATTTGGCTAGGCAACATATTTTTATAACAACTTGTTTCTAAAAAAAATTAAAAATTACTACTGAAATCGATGAACTGTGAACACTGCGGAAAAAACTTTCGATCGTGATTTCAATTTTTCATAACTCACGTGACCGACCGGACAGCCCCAAAACATCACCATGTGATTTTAGAGTCCTTCCAAAACTTGGCGAGATAGCGCTGCGATGCATGTGAAAATTTATTACAGTGAAAGTTTTTCAAAATGTGGATCATTTTTCATCACTGAAAATGAAATGTATTCAGAATATTGGAATCAGAAATCAGTAAGCAATGTTATTAGGTATAAATTTTCCGGCTGCAGGTCTGATCATCATTTTCCACTTGAGACATTTCCCCCTCAGTAAAAGGCGGTCTCTTATGGCCTTTCCTATGGTAGATAGTGAGACTTGCACGCTGTAGTGTGTGCCTCGAGGTTTTCTTTTATCTGGCAGTATGTAATGGATGGTCTGTTGTTTTTTTTTTTTTTTTTGAGTAACTGAATTAAATGGAGTTCTGGATCTTTGCGCTTATAAGGCTGACGAAGAGATTTTGAAGATTTCCAGTGAGACAAAACGTTTTCCACACTTTGGAGACCGTTGCTGTAGTCACTTTGTATTTTGCGCCTATTGCCCGAAAAAATTACCACCATGATATGTTCTGTTGCAACATCTCCTCCTTCCCTCAAGATACTGTCGATTATCAAAGTTTTTAAATCGTTTGAAAGCGATTTTCCCTGACAAATGTTCTTCCAAATGAATTCATTTTCTGACCTTGTGAACGGGTTTTCTAATCAGTATGTAGTCTTTGTTTGTACAATGTACTTATAGTTTCGAAATATCACGTGGTGTTTTGGGGCCGTCCAGTCGGTCATGTGAGTTATCAAAAATCACGATCGATCGTTTTTTTCGCGGTGTTCACAGTTCATCGATTTCGGTAGTATCTGATGGAACAATGGCCGCCATCTTGGAATTTACAAAACGAATCCCCACCTACTACCCCACATTCCTCCGGCAGGGATGGCAAAATGTGTGAATCCCCGACAAAGTGGAGACCCAAAATGCTGCTAAAAAGGTAACAAATCCCCCACCAAATCCTCGCATATCCAGGGGTGGGTAGTGGTTTCCTTCGAATGGTGCATACATTTACAGACCCATGCACTTTAAAATATGACAAGGCTTACCTTTAGAAGTGACATTCAGTATTGTCGTTCTGGGAATCGAGGTGCCAGAAGATAACATGAGTCTACACCTATATGTTCCAGTGTCGTTGAAGGTAACATTTACAATCTGGATCGTAGCATTGTATAATTTCTTCAGCCGAGGTTTTAAACTTGGAGGACATGAGGCAGAAACAGTCCAATTCCAAGACCTGGCGATTGCTTCGTTCGCAATTTCTATCCAATTTTTTCCATTATCATTGGAATATTCCCATATTGGTGACTTGAGGGCAAAATCTGTTGTCTTGTCACTCACATAGTATTCCCAGTTCAATTTAGTAGTATTATCTTCGATGGCAAAGATCTTCGAGGGAGGAGAACGAGTAAACCTGACATCTCCTAAAACGATAATAATAACAATAATTCTAACTAAAAATTCTGCAAAAGGTTTCCAATACAGCAATAAAAGGTTATGTGGCACAAGACTATAATAATTACCGGTTGCAAATGAAAGGAGTGAGAAAGAAATCACTGCATACAAGAAGGATCTAGTTAAATCTTCCATTTTCAACATCATTTGACCAAGTGCATACAGTATTGTGCGCCAAGGCGCTATGTTCGACAGGTGTCGATAGAATAGGTACACAATACCGAACAACGAGAGGGCACTAAGCTTAAGCGAGCTTCCGAAAGGCATTCACATGCCCACTGCTTCATAAGTGATGCGTTTCTTAAGTTTAGGTCCTACGATCTAAGAATGTTTATCAAATATATCGATATGGAGGATATTTTCGCTATTCTTGTCATATTTTTAGGTATTACAAACTCTTACATGTAAATTCTTAATGGTAGTTTAAATGTTGATTTTTTTTCTTCGATTAAAGTACCTACTCCAGGAATTTCCTTCATACGAAACGCAGGACAAGATGCTATTTTCATGTGGAACAGAACAAGTGGAAGTATTTTTGAAGCCCAATGGGGAATCTTGGATAAAGGCTTCATTAGACCATCTTTTATTTACATCAACAAATTTACCAATAAACCTAAAGTAAGTAG